CGGAGAACCACTACCACGACCCTGGAATGCTGCTAAACTAAAGCAGTACTATAGTTAAAAACCCTTAACACCGAGGACCCTCGTCGTCAACACCCACGTCCGGTCAACGAGGAAAAACGTCCGACCCCGTAGAAAGGCCAAGGTACAGGCCCGACCTACACCCAAATGGCATAACGTCGTTCAACAGACGAGCATGTACGAGAGTGTCCGACGTGGACACCTCAATCGAGCTCCACCGTCGAAGTACCTGTAGGGCAGAACACCCAGCTCGCGATGGACAGTTCACACCACGGGTGAACAACCCCGATCCGGGCCATACGCCCGAACAAGCGGCTTCGCTCCGCACGCCCGACGAATCTCGAAGAACGTCGGACCATCCAAAGGGTCGAAAAAGAATCTCTCCTCGAGGTCGCTACTTAGGCGAAATTCGCCACCAAATAGAAAGCCGAGCACAAGCATGTCCCGAACAAAAGACAGGCAAATTTGCCAACAAAGTCACAACCACACACAGGCAAGTTCTATCGTAAAATATCAAAACATAAACACGGGCAAACAATCAAAGTCGAAATAAACATTCATTCAAAAAGCCCGTGGGCAACAAAACAAATAGAAATAAACCGACCAAGAAGGTCGACGATGTTCGGAAAGTACAAAAGCGGGCACGCAGGCCCAAAACATGCACGGGCACGCAGGCCCCAAAAACAACCATCAAACAAAAGAAAAGGCGCGCAGGCCCGACTAAGATCTCACAGCTAGACTTCCACGGGGCTATCACCGCCGACAACAGGAGACTCGGGCAGGGGCACGACCTGGCCGGCGATGATCTGAGACATGTAGCCCACTCCTTCAGTATTCAGATCGGGATTCAACAGAGCGAGCTGGCTAACCGCGGCTTCAAAGCCATCCGCCAAAGTATCGACACAGTCCGCCTCGAGGAGTTGAATATGAGCAACCAGTTCCGACTGACTCCGCAAAGGAGCTGTCTCCTCCGACTCATCCTCGGCAGGGAGCATGGCGGCCTTTAGTTCCTCGACCGCTTTGGCGAGGCGCCCGTTGTCAGTTTCCAAGCGTTCTCGGTCCTCACGGAAGTACTCCCTCTCCTCGGCAATCTTCCCCGAATTCTCTTTCTCTGCGGCCAGCAACTCGGCTTGCTCGCGGAACATCTCCTCGGAGCGCTCCAGGGCAGCCTTCAACTTTCGTGAGCTTGCAGTAAGGGCAGCTTTCTCCTGTTCCAGCTCCTTGATGCGATCAGAATCTGCCCCCTCCTCGGCCAGGACAACGGCCATCTCGACCATTTTGACCATCCCGACCATGTTGGCGGCCAAATGCTTTCTCTGATTCTCCTTGCTCAGCCGCCTAATGGTATTTGCTTCGTCAGCGCTTACGGACAAGGGAAATCCCTCGAAGAAACCCTCCTCTTTAAAACAAGGGGGCAACCCAAAGGACCTCACCGCACCAGAGTCCTCGTCGACCTCCGGTTGGCTCTCCACCCGGTTCCTCTTCCTCGGTATCAGGCCGGTATGTGGCTCAACATCCTGAGCGTCTGGGGACCCTCCAGAAGCATCGCCCGGGCTAGTTGGCGGGCCCATCCTCGTTGCCTGAGGAGCTCGCACCACTCTCTTGTTGACTTTCTTATCCTGTGTCAGCTTCAGGAGCCTCTCCTTTCGTCCAGCCATGAGACCTGCATAAAAGAACCCCGGGTTAGTGACGAGCAAATAAACAAGCGAAGAAATTCAAACAAGACGAAAAAAGTAAACGACCTAGCAGGTTCGCGGCCTACCCGAAGGACTGGCACTCCACGAGCGCCTTCGTATCAATAGGCCGGGCCTCAAAGGTCGGATAACCATCTTCATCAAGAATATCCCTTCCCTCCCTCGTGGCCCACCGGGCAGGGAAGAAACTATCGACATATCTGCAGAGGGTACCATAGGCCTCCTCGTCTTCGGTGCTCATCCCACCCACGGGCGTATGGTAGTGCCCGGTGCCGTGCTCGTAGTGACGCGAGGTCCAATGCAAAGGGAACTTGGCCACACGCCCCAACACCAGGCGTCCATCATCGTCTAGAAGAGCCTCCCCGTGATCGTCGGTCACCTCCGTTTCTTCCTCGTATACAGACTCTAGACCAGTTTTGGTAACCGGCCGCACGATGTACCATTTGTCCTTGAACCCCCGGACAGAATCCATATACATCCTGAACAGTCTCTTCGACTGTTTGAGGGAAACCCAACTGTGCCTACCTCCCCGAGACTGGCGCTGTAAATGGAAGACTCTGAAGAAGAGAGGTATGGTCGCCCCAATCTTTAAAAAGCGACACGTCAGTTCGAATGCCCGGAGGAAAGCAATCGAGTTGGGGTGAAGCTGCGACGGGGCCAGCTCCAGATGACTAAAGACCCCGACCTGAAAATCACTAAAGGGGAGCTTTAGTCCAAGGTCCTTGAAAGCAATCTCATACATGGGAAACCCGTACTCGGGGAACTCCGAGCAGATCCGCGCGGTAAGAGTCAGTCTGGTGATAACAAAGTTTTTCTGAAAGCCGGGCTGACTACCGCCCTGCTCGACGATAGTATACGCACTCCGACTACGCCGACTGTAAGCAGAAGCAATCCCTCTGGGCTCGGCGCCCACCCACTCCAGCAGAGGATCGTCAATGGTATCGACCAGATTCACATTCTCCTCGGCGCTTTGATCTTCCACCTCATTGTGCCTCGAGGAACACAGCTCATCCGCCATTGTTACCTACAAAGCACAGGAAGCCGGTCAATTAGGGAGCAAGTCCACACGCTCGCCATAACTGACAGGAAGAAGGACACGACAAACCGAGTCACACTCCACACACGGTTAAAAAGTTGAAGTTTTGAACAAAAGAGTGGAGCCACCTCCCCGACGCCAAGATACTGCGACAAGTCTTCCTACAGATTACCTAAATGGGCCAACATCCTGGCCAGTCACGAATATGTCGACCTAGGCCATGGACATGGCGAGCGATATCATAAATCCTGAAACTAGAACTATGAATTTACCGGGCACTATCACGAATTAGGCGCCCTGAATCATGAAGATCCCGGGCAGCATTGCGAGTCAAATACCTAAACTATGCATTTACCGGGCACAAACATGCGTTTGCCGGGCATCAATATGGATTTGCCGAGCCAAAATACGAATCTACCGGGGCTAATCCCAGACACACAGTCTCTAACGTATAAAACAATGGAAAATGTCACATACCACAGAGGAAAAACATGAGGGATAAGACGCTTACTTGAAATCAGGGAAGAGAATCAGCGGTGGAGAGCACGACGGTCCTATGTAAAACAGCAGCAGTAGAGGCAGAGGAAGGAGGAGAAGCGCGAAGAGGAAAAACATATTTTGGGGCCCAAGGACCCTATTTATAGTGATGACGTGGAATACAAAACGTCACCCCGGGGAACCACGAACTTCCCTCCTCGACGCATAGCTCCCCTAGGCAATGATGACCCTATCTTCAATAGGACGGCGGCACGGTTCCCAAGGGATGCCTCGCGTGCTCAACGAACACAGCCCGCCGAGAGTCTCCCGAGCACTCCTCGAAAGGAATTATCTCACGAGTGCGACACGGGGGAAACTCCTCGAGTGACCACGAGGAACTAAATCTCTTGTCCGAGCACGGGACCTCGTGATGGAGGCGAACTAAGATCAAGTCATGACTCCTACTCTAGGAACCACGACTTGGGGGGCTCCTGTTCTGGACTGGGCCGGGCTGGCCCAAGAGCAAGGATGAAGGCCCAATCCAAACGGCTTTGCAGGGGGTCACGCCGACCAAGAAGCTACGGCCGTGTCCGCCACTGTCCGCGAGCGCGACATCCTTGACTTCATGCCGTCCAGCTCGACCTCAGCTCAAGTACCCCTCGTAGGGCAGACTATGACCATTACACCATCACCTGGATTTCGAAAAGACCGCGTCCTCGTCCGTCCGTACTTCTCGCAGAACACCCAGGAAGGAGACCACGTGCGGGTCTCCACTACACACGTAGAACCTGACAGTTCCTTCATTGGGCCAAACCTGCCCGGCCCAATGAAGAGACCTTGACCCAGCGCTGGGGACTATAAATACCCTCTGTTCCCAGAGGGTCAGGTATTCATTCTTTACCATACACACACTTTCTTGCCTGCTCGTACTGCCACTTACTTTAGCATCAGAGTGCCTTGCAGGTACCCCCCATCTCGTTCAACTTCAGCTCGGAGCCAGTCGTGACGGTCCAAGTCTGATCAGGTAAGATCAATTATCATTAAGTTTATTGGTTTTAATCCCACTAAAAGCCTGAGAAGAACAAGCTACACACAAACAGATCTTAGGATGCCAATCTCACCCTCATCATCTCTAAGAATATGTTAAAGTCATCTAGGTAATCCTCAAATAAACGAAATCCTTCCTTCAAAGAGAAATTGTAACTAACCATCGTATTCGCCGATTGATTCTCCCTATATACATGATTAATCTCCACATCTCAATCAAACTCCCACATATTACAAATCTTAGCAACCAAATTCCTCTTAATACTAAATAACATTTTCTTCTCCTTCACATCTTGCACCACTTTGACTGAATCCACCCGAATTTCAACTTCATCAAATTTCATCCTCCACTTTGTGTTTTTTTCTCAAAGAACAAATACATTTTCATAAATTTACTCCTTTTTAAAACTAAAAAGCTGGCACAAATTAACTAATGGTTTCCTGAAATGTACACAACCTAAACTAAAAGAAAGGCCAAAATCATAAAGTCCTGCCAAGTGCCAACAAGCAACGAAACAAATGCTCAAAAACAAATAAGCAGCATTGTACTACCAAGACACAAAACCACTCTTGTTGACTCTTGAACCAAAAGTCCCTATATTCTCAATATCACACACATCCTCATCATCCATAAATACCTCACACAACTCAATCAAAATCACCAAAGAATATCACTAACAAATCCTCACACACATTGCCACCAAAACAACACAACAAAAACTAGCATCATGTTACAACCACTACTCTTATCACTGTTCCTGCTTCTTTGTCCATTTTCAACAGAATCAACCCCAATCAACGTATGGCCCAAACCAACAAATCTCACATGGACCTCACCACACCAATCCACACTCCTCTCTCCAACATTCACCATCACCATCACCACCCAACACCAAAACAACCACCTCTCCGCCGCCATAATCCGTTACACAAACCTCATCAAAACAGAACACCACCGTCCCTTAACTCACCCAACAACGAACCTCTCCATCTCCAACCTCCCTCCTCTACAATCCCTAACAGTAACCGTCACAAACCCAACCGCCGAACTCACCCACGCCACAGACGAATCCTACACGCTAACAATCTCCACTCCCAACGCAACCCTCACAGCCTCAACACCATGGGGAGCAATGCGTGGTATGGAAACCTTCTCACAACTCACATATGGAAACCCAACGCGCGTGCCTGTTGAAGTGCGTGTCAGCGACGCGCCTCTGTTTGGTCATCGAGGTTTAACGCTTGACACTTCGAGGAATTATTATCCGGTGAAGGATTTGTTGAGGACGATTGAGGCGATGAGTATGAATAAGATGAACGTGTTTCATTGGCACATAACGGATTCCCATTCGTTTCCCTTGGTGGTTCCGTCGGAGCCGATGTTGGCGGAGAAAGGGGCTTATGATGTTAACATGGTTTATACGGTGGAGGATGTGAAGAGAGTCGTTGAGTTTGGTCTTGATCGCGGTGTTCGTGTTTTGCCGGAGATTGATTCCCCTGGTTAGTTCTGTTTTTGCTTTACTAAATTGGGATTTCTCACTCATGAAAGATGTTGTGTCATGTGTATAACATTGCAAAAGATTAAAAGGACTAAAAAATGTATCAAATTTTAATTCATTAACATTAGGATTCCATGGCTAATAATAGGCACTAAAATTTTCCCTCAAGCCATTTAACACTACTGCGTGTTTATGGTTGAATTCGAATCTAAGTCCTCTGATTAAGTTAGAAGCTACCATCTCAACTGTTTGATTTTAATCTTAATAAAACGGAACTAACTTAACGGTTAAGTTACAGGCTAAAAGTTAGGTCCAAAGTTAAGACAAGGTGTAAATATGATACAGTACTAACTTTTAACATTTGCCATTAAAGAAAAACTATTTTATATCTCTTTTTATTATTATGGATTTTGTTGTTTCTATTTGTCTTTTGCTTTGCGGCACAAATAAATTATTAGAGAGTCAGTTAATTAAATCATCCATTGCCGTTTCGTTGATTACTATACATGTTATTATGCCTGTTTCTTTTGTCTGCGTGTTTGTTAGGTTACGGGATTGAATTAGACTTGTGTTAATATCTGTACTGATTAACATTTAATTAGTGGTAATCTTGTTTAAATTCCATTACATTCAAGAACATTATACCCTTGTATCCGTCAGATATTAAATGCCACTTTTGATTTTGTTCGTCGACTACAAGCAAACTTGAGGTCGACCAGAACATTGGCACCGTCTGTAGGAATGTAGGAACTCGAAGTTCGCATTATACCTCTTAGCCTTGACTAGGGGCAATTGTTTCAGATTGGACAAATATTCCCACATTTCTTAAGAATCTGAGGTTAAAGGTAGTTTATATATAACATTCATACACCTCAATCCAACTAAACGTCTTTTTTAAAAGACAAAGTCGTGAGTGTTCTCACGGTTAAAGTGGACAATACCTCGTAGCCGCAGTGACCTGAGCCTGAGGTCGATTGGGAGATATTTGCCTCTCTCTTTTCTAACATGTTTTGGTTTATATTTTAATAATTAAACATTACTACAAACTACAAAGTAATAGTAACAGGAGTCATGGTTTTGGTTATTAAAATATAATTATATATTGCCAAAGCATAAAGTATCAAGGACTGACTTACCATGAGAATTTTAAATTCTATAAAGTTAGAAGAACTTCAGCACTAAGAAACATAAAACTAAACATTGTAATCATAAAACCAATTAAATTAACAAATATATGAGGTTATTTGTCTGATGTGTAACTTTATAATGTTGTTTTTGCACTTTCTTGTTGCCATATTCTGATTGAAAAACATGTACTTCTCTTTGTCTTTTACTTAATTTAGCTTTGCAAAACTGTGGTTTTCAAAATTACAATGATTATTATTGACAAATAAGATCTTGATATTGGCAGGGCATACAGGATCTTGGGCCTTAGCCTACCCTGACATTGTAACATGTGCTAACATGTTCTGGTGGCCGGCTGAAAGTGATTGGCCGAATCGTCTTGCTTCCGAACCAGGAACAGGCCATTTGAATCCCTTAAATCCCAAGACCTACCAAGTCCTAAAGAATGTCATACGCGATGTAACCACAATGTTCCCAGAACAATTTTACCATTCTGGTGCTGATGAAGTCATACCAGGCTGCTGGAAAACCGATCCAACAATTCAGAAATTTCTATCAAACGGTGGAACTCTCAACCAAGTTCTCGAGATGTTTATCAACAACACTCTCCCGTACATTGTATCCCTCAACCGTACTGTTGTCTATTGGGAAGATGTTCTCCTAGACGATACAGTCCATGTTTCACCGACAACTCTCCCGAAAGAACATGTGATTTTGCAGACATGGAACAATGGACATGACAATACTAAAAGAATAGTATCTTCTGGATACCGTGCCATCGTGTCGTCATCCGACTTCTATTATCTTGACTGTGGACACGGTGACTTCACCGGAAATAACAGTGCTTACAACAACCAGACAGGAAGTGACGCAAACAATGGTGGCTCTTGGTGTGGACCTTTTAAAACATGGCAAACTATATACAATTACGATATAACATACGGATTGACCGAAGAAGAAGCGAAATTGGTTTTGGGCGGGGAGGTTGCATTATGGTCAGAGCAAGCTGACGAAACTGTTTTGGATTCACGGATTTGGCCTAGAACTTCTGCTATGGCCGAGTCGTTGTGGTCAGGTAATAGGGATGAAAAGGGTATGAAGAGATACGCCGAGGCAACAGATAGATTGAATGAATGGAGGAGCAGAATGGTTAGCAGAGGTATAGGAGCTGAGCCTATTCAGCCACTTTGGTGTATTAGGAATCCTGGTATGTGCAACACAGTACATCCAATTTAGTGTGTGTTTGGAGAGCGTGATTCCAATCTGAATACATTTGTCGTCAGTTTAATGGCAAGTTGCGATTTTCTTTTGTTACCTTAAAAGAAAAGAAATAGCTATTCAAGTATACCTTATGTTCTTTTGATTAGTTATCTAGTGTTTAACTGTTGTGTGATCCTACTGAGAACTTATTGTTTCGTTGGGAGAGATTGTAATTGTCAAACATGTATTTGAACATTAAAGTTAAAAAAACCAAATGAATAATTGATTTTTTTTCATGAGTTTGAACATTTCTTGAGTTCAATTGGTGTTCAAAGTTGGTGTATGATTTAAAGTAATTTTAATACGTTCGAGATAGTCTCAATTTCTTAAAATGTTTGAATAAATTAAAACTTTGTCAGAATAGATTCAACATGTATTAAATATTAGACTTTTAAAAGTTTTCTAGTTCATTTCCTTATTCTTACTCAAACATCTAAACATACATTTTGAGATCTCTTTTCCATCTTAAAATTTTGATTTTATCTTCTACTCCTTTAGCTCATTCAAGTTAAAAATTTGGATTCATTCGTTAGTAATTCTTGGCCATAAAGTGTAACACACCAAATCAAAATCTCCCTGAGTTCATACGCTTGGTTGAGAAGGTGATCACCAATAATAAAATATGTAAAACCTGTGTATCTTATGATGAATAAGATTTACACCTGCTCGAAAAGAAAAAGAGCTTATTATAAAAACAATAAATTCCACTAGAAATGAAAAAGACAAGAGTATCTAAAACTTCCATCTGGTAAATTCTCACATTCACGCTGTAATGGGTCAAGGTTTACACATTTTTAAGGAAGTAAAACTTATTCCAATGTGAGAAGTTTCATCCCTGAAAATAAAATAAGGAGAAGACCTTAGTACCAATTATTCCAACACATTGGTCTTTATTTAAGAGCAAATAGACCTGATTTCAATTGTCTGTTTAAGGAATTCCACTTTAAAATCGTTAAAAGAATTTTGACAAAGCTTAACTGAACCTTCCACTATTGTTTTTGGTTTCTCAAAGGTAGTGAATATAGCTTAAAAGATTTCTGATTTTGACCTTGCAGGATGCAAATCTGAGAGGAAAAATATTAGTGATATTTGTCCCTTATTTGAAACAACATAGTATCGTTTTTTCTACCATCGAAATTGAATATGTAGTCGATGGTTACTGTTGTGCACAAGGAAGCAATAGTTACAAGACTATGATTTAAAATTGTGGTTGTGTTTCAATTAAAACCGATAACACTAGAGCAATTACTCTCATTAAGAATCCATATCAACATTCACACGTTAAATATACTGAGATTAGACATCATTTTCTTAGGGATCATATGAAAAAAAGGTGATGTGATATTTTAATATGTGGATACTAAAAATCAACTTGTTGATTTTTTTACAAAACCATAATTCACATAACATTTTCACAAAATCCGTAGAAAATTGGGGATCCTTGATCCATCTTACTTTGAATAAGCTTTAATTATATTCTTATTTCCTTTTTGATATATTTTCTTTCAGGCTAACATTTTCTAGAGTGACAACTTATACTGAATAGTAACTATATTGATATGATCTCTCCAAATTTGTATCTCTTAGTTATTTAGTTTCTTATCTGATATATTTAAATCTATGCAATGATATTTGATATGTTAGTTGTAACATCTCGATTATTATTAGCTATTTTATTTAATTATTTATTTAATTATTTTATTTGGTATTTTGATTATTTAATTATTATATAGTACGATAATTATTTAATTGTAGTATTTATGTGTTATTTGGACTAATTGTGTTAATTAAGAGAGGAATAACTAGTTGGGCCTAAATAGTGGTGACATAAGTAATAAGGGTGGTGTTAAAATAGTAAGTCCAATAAGAAATAAGAGATGGTAAGGATTTTGGTGAGAGTAGAAAAATATCAATTTGAAGAGAAGAGAAGAGAGGAGAAAAGAGGAGAAAGAGGAAGAGAGAAGAGGCAAACCTAGATATTGAATCTTCAAGAGGTAAGGAAGGGGGGGGGGGGGGGGGGGGGGGGGGGGGGGTGTTATGGGTGTATATGGTATGCAATGGGTAATAACATGATAGGTGTTGTTGATTTCAATTTCTAAAATCTTATATGTTAGGATTTGTGTAGAAATCTATGAAATTGATAAGATTTAATGTGTTGAATGGAATAGAATGAGTACTTTTATGTTAGGATGATGGATTATTGATAAAATTGACAAACATGATTATTTGTGGTGATTTATGGTGTTTTTGAGAAGAAGATTCGTGTGAATTCTAAGTAAAAAATGCAGAAAAATCATATTTTCGAAGTTTGAGTCGACTCAAACTGAAGGGGGGGTCGGCGTGAAACAACCTGCAAGGCAAGAAAGTGTTATCAATCAGATTTGCATCGACTCCTGTTACTTTTGCGTCGACTCATACAGGATTTTGCGTCGACTCATACAATAAGTTTTCTGACAGATTTTGTAACGGTCATAACTTTTGAACCGTTAGGCGTCGTTCGAATCATTAGAAAGCTAACAAAATAAACTATAAGATAGAACTAGGTTTATTGGCATTGGATGATTGGAATAATAGTTGGAATATTACTTTTTATGTGTCATGAATGGATGATGAATGGAAATAACATGTTTTGCCATTGTTTGCTATATGTTATTGTGATGTGTTGAATTGAGAATGTTATGAACATGACACTTGAATTTGTGTATGTGTATGTTGTGAATTGATGTTGAATAAGAATAACATATTTTAGCATTGTTTGCTATTCGTGATATGTTTGATTGATGAATGCTAAATAATTGCATTGTTGGTAATGACAACGTGATAAATGTATGTTTTATGCAATGGTGGGATAATTTATTTTGATGGATTATTGTGATATGCGGTATGATTAAGGTTTGGTGATAATCTTAATTTGCATATAATTGGTTAAGTTTGCACATGCGTGTATGGGGAGATTGAACTCCAGTTGGTTGCTTTGATCCTTATGTGGAAATAGAAGCGGTGAATTATATGTTCATATTAGTTGCTTTGATCCTTGTGTGGAAATAGAAGCGGTGAACTATATGTTCATATTGGTGGGCTTTAGTCTTGTCCGGATCAGAAGCGTGACTCTGGTTCTAAATATTGAATCAGGAGCGAGGTGAACTTGATGTTCACGATGGTACCATATGCATGAGTTACATTAAGTTGCATTGGAGTCACATTTGTTGTTATGTGATATTTTGCTTTGAATGCGTAATGCGTGTGATAATTTGGTTTAACCGTGACTTTGAGGATGATCGCAATATATGTGATGATTGTGGGAATTATTCTACTTGAATATTATTGTCTTGATACTTGTATTGGTGAAGCCATGTTATATAGATAATTATATGAAGTGTGATGAATTCTTGGAATGTATGTGTGTTATATACATTGTTTATATTATATATATCCATAATGATGTGAATTCTCACCCTTCTGTTGAAATGGTGTTCTAGGCGACATCGCGCAGATACCGAGGATAGTGGTGATACTGCAAAGATTAGTCAGAAGAGCTAAATCCTTATTTACCTATTTTATCCTTAGGTAGTGAGTCATTGATCTGGTCTACGTAGCACAGGGGAGTTTGAACTCATGTGTAACGCGGTGGAAGAACTGACTTGGGTGTTTTGTGTTTGATCGTAATTGTCGCGGATAGCAAGAGTCGCCATCGACTTTTCTTTTATCCAATAAGGAAAGGTTGAAAAGAACAGGAAAGACCTTTCAAGATTATTTCTTGAGTTCGTGGGGTAGGTTATGAAAATGGAAGGCATTAGCATCCTTTTCATCCGTAGTTATCTACGGACTCTTAGTTGCTTGCTAGATCACTTGCTTTTGTTTGAAAATGTGCTTGTGGTGTGAGTTTTGAAAGTATTTTGAAAATGTCTTTGTAATGGTTCTCATTTCTATAAGAACGCGTACAAAGTGTTGTTTTGAAAATAGTTCAAAGAGGTGTTTGTGAAATTTATTTTTGAAAGTGATTTTGAAAAGTGTTTTTGTAATGGTTCTCGTCTCTATAAGAACGCGTACAAAAGCTTTGTCTTTTGAAAATATTTTAAAATGAGAGTGTTGGTGTATAAAATGTTTTTGTTGTGAACAAGCGAACAACTGGGAGCATCCTACCTACTCAAAAGTATTTAGTATTCTTTTCCTCCTCCTTTAGATGTTGCTATCTTACCATTGTTTTAGTAATAAGCCCCATCGTTGGATGTGAAGGGACGGGCGTGAGACGTTTGTATAGTCATAGAAGGCAATCTATGGGACGTTTTAGCAATGTCGTTTAGGGACTAGATCGTTTACCGAAGGCAACATTGAGGGTCACCGAGGGACTACGATCTTTTATCGAGGGTCTTTGCTAAAACATCCATATTCGAGGGACATGACTATTTTTCAGAGGCAACAAGTGAGATTACCCTAAGGGTGCATGTATGAATGACGTGTTTGATTTGCATGCATTTAGTCTTTAATTAGAGATTGTCTACTTGTTGTTTTTATCTTGCCATACATACCCTATTTTACTAGCAATCATACAAAAGTAATAAAATGCAAAAAGATAAAGTCCTACATTATTACAACCATATTGAATTGCATGAAAATATAAAGGAGAAAATAAAATAAAAGCAAGAAAAATGAGTCTTTCAATTTAGGAAGAAACACCCTTGGATTCTGTATTTTCTGGCTTTCTTCGATTTGGGGTCTGGAGTCAGTAGAGTCATGCCCCTCGATTTTCCTTTCTGCCTTCTTCGACTGGTGGCTGGAATCAGTGCAAGATGTAATCTGCCCTTCTACCTCCTTCGACTGGGGGTTGAAAGCAGTAAGGGAGTGTCTTTTGACTGGGCCCGCAGGTCAGTATGTTCGAAGCAAGTGTGTGTGTGATGAACATGTATGTGTCGAAGCATGTGTGTGCATCTAAGCAGGTGTATCGAAGCATGTATGCAACGAACAGGTGTGTGTCG